ATCGATCGCCGGGCGGTCACATCTTGCCACGCGCTCGAATTGGGCGGTAGGCCGGCCTAAGACAACGATTTTTAATAATTAATTACTCGTTAACTATTACGAAAATTGCAAAATGGTACAGGACTTTTCCATTCATCTCGATCCGTTCTACCTTCTAAAAAATTTTGTCGGATATGGAAAGACTCACCCTGTATATGTATATGTGTATGTATATGATATGTGAAGCCGCTCGTGATATACTGACAACGCGATAGTTTTTAATACCTTTAGTATAATAACATATAACATAGTACATTTAGCGTAATAACATATAACATAATACATTCAGCATAATAACATGTAACATAATACATATAGCATAATGACGCAAACATAAATTTCAGTCTACGGATTTGGTTCTTACATTTCGGAGGGTTGGTATAAATTTTTCTCCGAAGGGCAGGTTACACGCCGAGATACATCCACTCTTAAAAAAGTCTCTGTAAAAATACAAAATAATGTGACTTAAAATACGATTGATGAAAGCTGATAAAGAAACATAATAATGCGCGTTGCAAGATGTTATTAAATTCATTAGTGACATACAACACCCGGGGTGCGTTATATGCCATACAATAACGTAATTGTACATGAAATATATGCATTGTATTACATATACAGTAATGCGTGCAAATATCAAATGGTTCTGTACTTTGAGGAGTTTTTGCATAAAGTGCGATCTAATGGCACTCGCGCTTTGAGAACTGCGTTATATAGTAAATAACCGCAAAAAGAAATAGGGCATACCGTTTAGAATTTTATTATCCCCAATATCCTTCCGAATTCCGCCTGCACATTCTCACGTGCTACTACTGTTTGCTTCTCCTCAAACTAAGGAATCCTGTAAAAGGAAGATCCTCGATTATCCTCATTGAGCGCGGAAGCTACGTCAAGGCTAAACGCACTCGCACGCGATGCACAGTTGCATCTGTACTCGAATTTTCGACACGCAGCGCATTTATCCTATTTACGATATCGCGACAAAATAATAATAATAACGTTATTCACACTTGGCTTATTTTTGTAGCAGTTGAGACAATATCTGGTACTGGAATGTTTTTTAACAATATGCTGATTGCAATAAAGTATGTGCTATAGATAATTGAAATAAACTGTTTTTAATAGGCGTTGTATTATTATACACTTTGTAACAACACAGTATAAATAATTGTAAAACGGAACGAAAATAGCGTTGTAAATATGATACAATGAATGAACTAATATCGCTACTTTTCTCACAACCGCGAAATGGGGAAAGTTACAAATAATTTGACACGATTAAGTTACACTTCAGCATTCATGCAGGCTAGAAAATACCGATACCCCCGTTTGCACCACGTTCTCCTACATTCGTATATCTATATTATTAGTAAACGTTCGCATTGAGTTATATAATAAATATATAATTCACGTCGAGAAAGCAACAAGACATTTTTCCTCTGGAAATAAAATCATAAAAAGAGGAGAGGCAAGAAAAAATTGTGTAACAAGAAGGTTCGATACACGGTTGCCTCGTCGAGTACAATAACAAATGACGCAGAAAATGAAATGCGGTGGAAGAAAAAAAAAACAATGATGAAGCATTATACATGTTTTGTACGATGCATTAAAAGAAACCGAGAGAAAAGTACGATCACGTCTTCCAACGTAAGGTCTCTAACAGAAGAAGCAAAGTCAGAGCATGCAAAAAAATTTTTTTATCTTGTTTACTACAGGCAAGCTATATATCACGCTGCAGTGTTTCGATTGTCTTCGACCAGTTAGTATAATTATAATATTATATCAAATATTATAAAAATGTATGAAATACGTTACGTAAAAATGGTCCCTTTCTGCACTTTGCCTGAGTTAGAAATTGCGATGTCGTATTTCGAATAATTTCCCTCCGGTTTTATTTAGTCAGGCGTGTTCCTCTTCGAGCGACAGGTTGTCATTAGAAAAAAAAAGACAACGATGCCGATGATGGTGGTGACTATGATGAGAGTCCATGAGAACAGGATCGACAGGTGGAAACGAGAGGCACGGCCAGTGCCACGCGGGGCCGGGAAACACACGCGGTATACATTCGTAAGCCCGCGTCTCAATTTCTGCACGCGTAGGGAAATTGAAACGCGGGCTTACGATCAGGCTGAACGAGCGACAAGTAGGAAGGTCGAAAAGTAAACGCGCACTGTTTCTTGTCTTTTTTCTTTTCGAAAGACACCGTTTCGGCCGCATGCACGTCACAATGCCGACCCGTTCACGCCGACGCCACTGAAGCGACTGGTGGTTCATGGGGTGTAAAGGGGATGCGCATGCGTTCTGAAGTGTGTCTTCCCTATCACGGCTCATGTCCGATTATACGCAGGTTTCTTCCACGTCGCATCATCCCCCATCCCACCACAGATTCATATTTGATCTCGCGTTACTGTCGCGACCGGACGAAAAGCCAGCGAAAGCATTATCACAGAATACGGAGATGGTGAGACAGAGAGAGAGAGAGAGAGAGAGAGAGAGAGAGAAAGAGAGAGGGGGAGGAGAGAGAGAACAAACGAATAAAATGTACTTTAAAGTCACAGTCTTTTTAGCCACTATAAAGCTGGACCCTCCACTATCGCTAATTTAGGTAAAAGAATTAGTATTTTTTTATGTACACATTCTTCGAGAATAATAGTCTGATATATTTGCATAACTGATTCACAATTGCGTTAAATTCTACGTTTACATAAAATGTTTCTTCGAAAACATTTTGTGTAAACTATTATCGACTATTATTCTCTAAGAATTTTATCGTGCTATTTTGCATGAATTAAGTCGCATAAATTTCATAAAAAAAAAAGAGTAGATGAAATAACATTGGAATATCATGACACCGTTCATTTATATGCAAATAAAGTGTGGCTAATTGTACTTAGGTGAATTACATACCAATAGAGAGCCAATCAAAATAAATTACAAAATATGTTTATCGAGAACTGCGATTTATTTACCACAACAATCTGCAATTAAGCTTTTGCAAAAGATAATCAAAATTCGCGTAGCATGCAGTTGTATTTATGGACATTGCAAAGTCGACTATAAAATGTATTGATGCTCGACAACTGGAATAAAAATGCTAGTTTTTTTTCCCTCCCGAGATGTATATATTTCCACATTTGTTTTACGGGATATCTACAACTTCCTATAAGCTCTTATAGCTGACGTGACAATTTGCTCACACAAGAGTCGAGCACCCTATTATAAGAACTATCTTTCCTGTCACTCTGTTTCTGCCTCTCGCATTTCCATAAAGTGTATTTTAGCCTTTATGGGAGTGATTTCTCACTGCTTGTTAGTTTCAGCTAGTATTGTTCCATACGGGTACAGGAAAGAAGCACTAGAGATAGGAAGTTAGATCATGTCTTCCTCTTAACATTTACACGATAACGAATTAACTCATTTCATTGTTACGATAAAATTGATAGGGAAATATGCGATAAAGACATGCTCGCGTATCAGAAGTATCCCGTGACATAAGTACGCTAATCTCTATAAAAAAAAAGTTTGACACGAGCGTAATGAAATCGACTCGAATAATAGAATTAAAGGTTCAACATAGGGCCAAAATTTCGACTCGGGTCTTCACAAATTTCTTCATCTGCTTACAGTCTCTACACGAAATAAATATGATAATTACAGCCACAAAGCTTCGAGCAGCTGCTCCCAAACTATAATTTATTTTATTCAAATTGGCAATAACAAATTATAATTTATTGGATCTTTTTCTATAAGAACAAAAAATTCAAGCCAAGGAAAGGGGAACACAAAAATTTGTAGCAAGGGAGTTGTTGCCATCCCGCAGTCGGTTGTAAATACGAATTGTTGCACGATACGACGCACAGTCATTTGTGTAACTTTGAGTGTAGAACGTGTGTTTGAATCTAATCAGTTGCTCCAGCAAGAGAAAAGTTTTGTGTAGTTCTACGGCGAGTAGAGAATATTGCTTCGATACGTTTCTTCTGAAATTTTGATGGAAATCCATAAACATACGCAGTTCCCAATCCTATTGGTTAAACTTTTAGTACCTAATGCTTGCAATGGGATTACTCGCACGTGGCTTAACATAAACGCGCTCACGGATGCATCGAATTTAAAAATTTATAAAATAATATTGCTGTTCTATATTTTTGTATTATATTATAAATTTTTATCTTCGTGGATAGCGATAATTTGAAGTTAATATTGATTATGTACATTCGCGAATATGAATTACAGCAAATACGTTATTTATTATAAAATTTTTCGAGAAAAGTTACATCGTTATTATAAAAACAGGAGCATAATGAAAATCAGAATATGCTGTCATACATGTAATATAAAGAATATATATAAGTGCGTACATGTAATGTAAAAAAATCCCTATGTTTGTACAATACATTCGCGTGATTTCCTATCTCTCTAGTATGCATATGTATATGTATTAAATTATGTAAAAATATTTGCTACGTAGACATGATGAAAATTATACGGAAATCGGCTAAGATAAATCAATACAATTAGTGCCATGATTGAACATGGTAAATTGAAAAAGTATAAAGACAAATTAACCTATATGTTACTACTTTGAGTGAAAGTATTTGTGATATCTTGAAACTCCTCTGTGGAAGATGAATATTTAACATTTAATGCAGTCCGGTTATCTTCACATTCGATAAACTCTTATTGCTAGCTGTATGAATCGTTAAATTGTTGAAAAGATGCTCTGCTAGTGAAGAATGCGGTTTGCACTTAAGAATATCGCTAGACAAGAATTTATTTATTTGTTAAGTTACGTATTTACAGGGTCCTCGATTAGACATTCGAAAACTCGTCTCTGTCGTAAATATGGTTCAGCCAAACAGATAAAAAGAACTAGACAAAACTTTATCCATTATTAGGATTATAAAGCATCTATTATACGTACATCCAATTTGATATCATGATATCGTGTGCCATTTATCGTAGACTTCGAGCTATTTATTATTGTAATTAAATTAATTTTATTATAATATATATTTTATCAATCCATGATAAAACAAAAAGTTATTTTATTAATGATATAATTCTTAACCGATGATCTCTACTATTGCATTATTTTTAGGAAATGTGTCGACGCAAATAGATTGTTTTCTTAATTTAATTGAAATTCGTGTTCAATTTAATCGAATATCGCGGGATCGTTTTTTAATGTATTTTATCAAGAGAAATTTTAAAAGTGTGAATTTTATCGTATTCTATTTGTTTTATAAAACTGATTCAGTACAGTAAAACACGGAAAATAACATCAAACGGTATTGCAGATAAATGAAACACGAAGTACATGAATACAGTTCACTTTATTTCACTATAGTAGATACATTCGAGTATTACTACTGCATTCGAAATGTTATAAAGCGGCAATATTGCGTTTTGCTGTTTTAATTTTAAACCTAGTAGTAGCATCTCCGGTTATTGTCGTGATATTTATACAGAATCGGTGTAACATAACCAACAGAAACATAACGTGTTGCAAATGGACCCTTGTCGTTTGGACTACTGGAAACAATTGATGGAAACACATGCAGTTTTAACTGCATTTGCTCATGGCACACGTTTATGATTTAAAACATATAGAAATTAACCAATTATATTTGGTTCTGTTTCATTTTTAAACGGAACATGTGCAAAACAATATTAGTCCTTACGGAGGAAATTATTTGTTGATATAAATAAGACAAGTAAAAATTCAGCGTTTACTGAACTTGATAAAGTACTTTATTAATTACATTTAAAGTTGAAAATGAAAAGTTTATAAAATGTTATTTAAGTGGTCATTCCATCCTGTATAGTGCAAATCATTTTATAGATTATTTCGATTTTAATAATGTGCAATTTACATAGTAGCATAACTTATATATCTTCTCGAAATTACGAATATTATACAAGTTATCAAATCCTCCATTTTCCTGAGAAATCAATTAAATGTGAAATTGACTTCGCTGTCGATAAACTAAAACATAATGATTTTAAGGAAATAAATAAGGAAATCGATAAGTTGACAGAGAAAGATTTTCTCATTTATAGGGAGATTTTATTATTCTGAAATAATGCAGTTCTCGTGTAATTAGAACGAAGCAATCGCATGTGACTAAAAATAATCCTGCATTACTTCGAGCTTTAACAATCTGTTAATTGAAAAAAGCAGTCGTGATAAACCAATATACATTAAGGCTGCTTTTCTTTTAGAAAACACAGATGACGAACATTTTTAACACAACTCGACACATGTCGCTTTCCATTTAGAATTTAATTCAAACTCAATCAACACTCTTCGATTCTGCTCGAAAGGAAAGTCGGAGTGTATTTTTGACCGAAGAACACGCCTGCTCTCAGTATTTCTGTAGAATCTTTTGTCTGATTAAATCTTTCCTTAAAATCTTTGTTTTAACAAACTGTACTCGAATGTGTTAACGTATGCCGATTTGTATCTCTTAAGAGGAAAACAGCCTAAATCGATCACTTATAAAGCTTCGTATATATTATTTATCTATTTATTCATAATATTATTTATTTGTTCTCTATAATAATATTTCCGTAATATTTATCGTTTGAATTGATTTACGTATAATATGCGCGAATAAATGAAATATTTTCTATGCAGCATTAGAGGTATAAGAGATCATACATACTTCTCACGAATGGATACTTTCAATTACGTACGTGGTTTACACCTACACGATAGGAAAGGGAAAATCGACGTCGAGCCTGGAAGACGAAATGGTAGAGATAGGAATTTATTTGCGAGTCCCAAAGTGATTTATACGACAAACATCGGAATAGTGTTTTCAGCTGAATAAAATAAAAGATCAAAGCTCTAGATCCTTGATAGATTTGTCGAGGCGTATGTTATTTCTTACTTTTAGTTGAAAAATTCGTGCAAACACATTTAGAAAATCGTCGCTAATCCTGTTGTGATTAGCACAATAAAAATTATTCGAAACAATTTGAGCCAAGACATTGTCGTTAATTATTCGTTAATTACATTTTTTTATTTGTTTCGGCTTTATGTTCGTTTTCTGAAAGTTTTTATCTCGAGCAATCATCAGTTATCATCGTCGATCATTGTCCTGTATTCACGGCTACTCCAGTAAGAACACTAACGCCCAATCGACGTCAATGGGATCGAAACCGTGTCCCAAATTAAATTTCGTATTAAATAAGTTAATTTGGCAGTTCTCTCTAATAAGATGTTTAAAGTATTCAGAACGTTGAACGTAGTAATTTAATACAAAAAAAATAAAGTTTCAAAACTTAATTATGTTCGAAGATTGACGGTTGGGACGCAGTTTCGACCTCATCAACGTCGATGCGACGTTGATTCGACGTTGGTGTTCTCACTGGGTACGAATATATCATTCTTATAATCGATCAAGTGTTATGAATAAATTTGATCAAAACTTTTTTATTACAATTTTATTCGCGTAATGTTTCTGAATTTCATCAAATACATACAATACATACAGAGTTAAATTTTATTTCGTGTCTCAGTCTTTTACCATGAGAGATGGATTACCGACCGAAATTGTAGCTAACCCGAGAAAAAATGAAAAAATTTTGTAATATACAGGGTGAGTTTTATTTCGTGAAGTCTCTTACCGTGAGAGATGGATTACCGACCAAAATTGTAGCCAATTATGGGAAAATGGAAAAATCTCGTTGTATATGTATATTTCAATCATGTAATATCTACTATAATAATTATATCTCTCAAAATACAATTAGATATTACATGATTGAAACATATACATATAAGTAGATTTTTCCATGTTTTCCTAGGTTAACTACAGCTTCGGTCGGTAGTAAGTCCATATCTCATGGTACAATAAAAAACTGGTTTACGAAATAAAACTCACCCTGTATGTCTCAATCATGTAATATCTAATTGTATCTTAAGCGATATAGATGCCTCAGTGGTCGAATTGGTGAGACGCCCGCCTAGAGCGTAGGGAGTCCAGGTTCAAACTCTGGCTGAAGTAATATTTTTTTCAATAAATGTTCCGTATTATTAAAAATGGAAGATATGGTCAAGAAAATACTGACGTTGTTAAATACTACTGGCGTCATTGAAGAATATTCTTATTAGTTAATTAGTTAACACACTCGCCGCCATGACGGTAACCGATGACCGACAGCAAGTTTTTGTTTACGTTCTGTTGATTATCAGTAACTGTGAATGGCAGACGACAGTCAAATAAATATGTATATTTTTATGCAACTCAACATAAATTCAACACTATAAATTAAGTTTTTTAAATATAAAATCATTTTATTCGACATGAATCAAGAATGAGCTAAAACCAATCGTTTAGCTGTGAATTAAACGACTGCTCGCTAAAAGGATATTTCTGAATATATGTATAAGTATGTAGATTAATTATGTTTCAAGTATTTAATCCAAGTCTACACTAGGTAATTTAAGACCTGAGCTTAAAAAATTGACCAATCACAGTCAAGTATAAAGAAAATATTCAACTGTGATCAGAATTTAAAGCATCTATTGTATACCGTAACTTATAGTATTAATGGGAGCTATTCTATCTTACTTGTATTAACTTTATTAGTCATACTTATTAGTTAATTGGTTTCTCCAATATTTTTTAATTCTATATAAAAATATGCATGATTTTCGGGTGCTTTCCGGCAATGTACACGGGCGACACTGTGTAACAGTGAATCGTTTTATCTTCGTTGTTTGCCATTATTAAAGAAGAATGAAATTATTCTCTATTTTACACTGTGTCTCTTGCTGGAAAGCACGTTTCGTTTATTGCGAAGCGGAAATTTGACTGAAAATGGCAGCCACCAACCAGACATCGTTACAGCGATGTCCAAACCATTATAGTATAACTATTGTAGTAGGTCCGCTCCGTCATTCGTTTCGTTTTGCGTCGAACCCTCCTGCGCATCCGACATTGTTCTGGGCAGACCAATGAGAGAAAAGTTGTATGTGGGGTAGTGTAGCTTTGATACACTACCTCTACACACAGCTACAGTACGTACACACACATACGCCGCTGGATTTGGACCAAAGACATGGCGGAATACCACGTGATCGGGACCGAAAAGATCAAAGGGCCGACAGAGAGTGAACATACTAGTTACACTGATATTGCGCATGCGTGTTATAATATTGATCGTACATACTTCTGGCCTGGGGCATGGCCTGGCTGAGGTCGGAGTGTTAGTATCAATTGGTGCGAGATGGGGTTCACATCACATTGCATTCAAGCTAAAGTCTTGATCGTTTAACGAAAATAGACACGAGGTAAGTGAATATTAACAATTTATATGCACAATGGAGTCTGACGTTAACAAACAAGTTACTAAGAAATATTGAATAACGAGCTACTCAGATAACACAGGACATCCTCAGGATCATCCTGAATATGCCCCGAGATGTTCTGGGACCTTTTCAGAGTATAGTTGTATTACTCTAAATATTTTATATGAATAATTTATGTGTAAATTTGACTTCTAAAGTAATTTTACATAATATGTAAGGAATGTAAATCTTCCATAAGTGTCGACATATCCACATAGCATATAATAAAAAGTTCTAAAATCCTACTCGTTTCCAGGATGTCCCAAAGAGTGTCCTGGGATGTCTCGAGGATGTATTACACTCCAATTGAAAGCCCTATTAAGTTCATCTTAAGATATTCTATAAAGAGTTTCATCGGTTATAAAATGTCTCAAGATGAACTTAAGACGATCTCAAATGGTGACTGTATGAATATCGTTATAGATAACGTAGAAAATGAGATTAACTTATAGGGGCTCAGGACATCCTACGAAAGTCCTCAGAATGTTCTGAGGACCAAGAAATGACCCTAGTTTGCTATTTCTTGAAACATTCTGAGGAGATTTCGGGATAAAATCAGGGCGTCCGGCATAGTATTCTTTTTAGGATGTCCTGAGGACTAAAAAGTGGCGCTCGTTTGCTATTTCTCGGGAAGTTCTGAGTAGGTCCTGGGTTAAAATCAGGATGTCTTCAGGATATCCGAAAAATTCGTCCTGGACGTACTTCGGACTTTCTGAAAATGTTTTTGCACTATTTGAAGAAATTTCATGTGCAGTGTACGAATTATCAGAACTACACTACTACACATATAACAATTGTCTAATTAGTTAGTCGCTATATTTTGTCGGGCGATGTCCCGCAAAATGGCGATGTGCAGAATGGATCGATGCGAAACCGAACAAGAAATGAAATGAAAACGTACTAGTTATATTTACTATACTATATGCATACAAAAACTCTATACCTGATTCACACTATTTGAAAATTTTCACTTCAATTTTGTTTTTTTATGGTATTACAGTGTAATTTTTCTTTGATTTTTTCAGACTAACGAATGTGGCCAGCTATCCATATGTTGAATTTCTATAGTTTACCAACACATACAAAGCTATCCCGAAAATGTTAAGCTTCAGATATTTTAGATGTTTATGTGACATTATAATTGTAAATATCCCGTGTGAGGTTGCTGATCCTCCATCGGGCGCCTCCCCAGGTGGCGGATCGGGGAAAACTCGCTAGAAATAGAGGGTACCGGGAAAATAAAATACCCGGGGCGGACCAAAATCAGCAAGGTCACTAAGGTTAGAGTAGCCAATCTCTTCAAAATAATTAGTAATTGTGGATCGATAACCCACATTTATTAAATCTATATAATTATCAAAGAAAATGCATTTGTCCGTCAGAAATATTGTCGACGATTTTGGGCTTTTGAGTACCGGGGAAGTAAAATACTTTGAGTGGACCCAAATCAGGGTCGCTGAGGCGAAAGCAGCCGATCTGTTCAAAATAATTAGTAATTGTGGACTGATAACCCACATTTATTAAATCTCTATAATTATCAAAGAATATACACTTGACCGTTAGACATATTGTCTACGATTGGGGGCTGGAGGCAGAAAACTGATATCGACTTTCTGAAAAATTCTATTAAACTGTTTGAGTCGGAAGTTATAACATAACTCTTGAAGCGACGTCAAATAGTAGGTCCCGTATATTTGACACATAAAATATATGGACATGGGTCATAATATTTAAAATGGAACAAAAAGACTAGGAAGAAAAATAAATAATTTACAAATTATCGACAAGCCATCGCACACAAGTCGAAGTAAAGGTATGTTACATTTAAAAACCAGAATTAACAAACATCGTAGATATATTAATAGGAACACCCAACAATTGTCTGTTATCATTGAACACAGACTTAACGGGTGAAGTTCAAAATTTTTAATATATATATATATATTGATTGTAAATATTGAAACATTACATTAATTAACAACTAAAGTTTAATAAAGACCTTTTGAAAATATAACTCAAATATTATATAGTATAAATGAGAACGTCAAGTCATATTTGGGTTCGGGCAAACTGGAGGTAGCCTAATAACTTTTAAAATTAATGTGTGAATTCATATACTGTATTTACATTAATTACATTCATTATTCAACGAATAATTTAATCACAGTATTATAATTGAAAATAGAAATATATTTTTTATCCCATTGATTGAATAACATTTACTAATTCACTACATACGCCTCAAGAAATTGGACTTACTATTAATCAATTTTGCAGGTCCTCACTGTGTCTTCCGCAATCATCTCACTCAGTCGGCGTGGAATTAAAAATTTGTCTAAGAACAGACTTCATATCAGAATTGTGTTATTGACCGTCAGACAGATTTTCGAGTAAGTACGTTAAAATAATATTGAAAAACTAAAATAATGTTTTGAAAACGCGCGCGCGCGAACAAGAGAGTGCAAAGAGGGTAAATATTTAGGTAAATATTTATTTAAATATTAATCAGATTCAGTTTGTTGACCGTACGAGAACGTTATCTTTTAAGCTCAACTGATTCCGATGTTCATTTTGTGCTTCTTGTGCGATTTCATGTTTACCATCATGAAATTAAACTTTCCACATATCCTGGAGCCCGCGTGGGGCATAGGATGAGACATCTTATTTCATCGGTCCGAAGTTGCTGAGAATGACTCAAAAAGAGTCGAAACGTACATATTAATTATCTCTTTTTATGATTTATTAAAGATAGTCCTTTTGACTTTATGCACCAACAATGTGTACATGTGAAACTTGAGTAGAACTATCGGGAACTCTCGCTAAAAATGATATTAGTGAATGCGTTTTGGTACTTTAGAGGGGAGGGTGTCGTGCTAGATTCGCGAAGTTAGCACGATGTTTTTTAAAAGTTGATTTTTCGATATAAGGAAAGCGGAACTCTTTCTAATTTTTATCAGGAACTGTAGAACTATGAAAGGTGCTATTGAAACTCTTAGTATTTTTTTGAAATTCGTAGAATGTCGTACTAACTTCACAGATCCCCAACAACCGCGTTCTGACTCTCAAGGTTTCACTACAATTTTTTTTTAATTAAAGCTTAAGTTTAACTCAACTATTTTCTGTCACTATTAGCTGTGACCATTTGCAATACTTGCTGGAACAATCTATTGATGCTAGATCAATTAGTGCTAGAATAATTACAGTGCAGGAACTCAAAGCTTCATGCACACCAATAATCGAGATTATGTGACGTGTGTGTTCACGAACAAATATAAAATGAAAAAGTTTTTAAACGACTAGCTTCTTAAATAATTTTTCTTTATTTTTTTCCAGTAAACTTGTCAATACCGCGCCGACAAATAATTGTTCCTTCTTTTCGGTGATAGGAAAATGACTCGCTATCATTTCCACACCACCTTGCGGTAGATAGCTTGGTGCGTTTATTGTTGCAAGAACCATACGTGTGATAGGAAATATTATTAACAAATTTCGCGTGTCGCGAAATATAATGCCTATGCCTATAATATGCTTTTGTCTTTGTTTAGGCTTTACTTGATACCGTTTTCTTCGACTGATTCCAGCGCTACAATACAATATAATACAACACAATACAATATAATATAATACAATACAACACAACACAATACATATACAATAGAAAATAATAGAATAGAATCATTCTACATCCATGAATATACAGGGTGGGTTAATAACAATTGACACCTTAAATATCTAAAATTGTATGACTTGGAGTTGTATGGTTCATTTAATTGCAGTGTAATAGCCGCTTGCTATAATTGCTATAAATGTATATATGTATATTTCTGTATATTCTATGTACGTACATGATAAATACATGATATTTTTTTCACATTACAGACACTCCGTAGTTGTTAGGCCTCCCCATGTTATTGTAACAATTGCAACAGAGCCGTAATTTCTCGCCGTCATCGCTGACGAAGACCTCTTCATTATTTATTGATTTTACGCATATGCCTTCCATATATATGCGGTAGGTATCATAGTATTGTGGTACGACCCCGTCTATGGGCCCATACCACTCTTGTTTCTCCTCCTCACTCCTTTGATCTGCTGGAGGCCGGAGGCTGGAGGTCCAATGTATATACATTGAATATCCAATGTTTACTGGGTATGTAATGACGCGCAATAAAGCCTATCACACAATAGGAAAGCACAGGCAATAGGAATAGGGAATAACACAGGCAACAGAAATAACTAAATTCCAACTTACCAGAAACCGTGCATCGACGCACAATGGAATATGGCATAGGCAATAGGAACAGAATATCCGACGCGTTGGATTTCTGTTCCCTATTCCCTGTGCCTGACCTACCTGACCAATCACAGTGGAGACTGGGACAGACACGTGGTTTTAAAATGCAGATGATTGGACAGCACGCCTATTGCCAACGAATCATTGTGTCTTGGCATTACATAGATTTCTATTCCCTATTCCTATTCCCTATTCCTATTGCCTGTGCTTTCCTATTGTGTGATAGGCTTTAGTGTCTATACTTGTATGACTGATGCGCGCATCACAATACGAACAACGTGACTGAACAACAGAGTGAATTACAGCGCAAGCGCCAAAACCGCACAACTTTCGCTTGACATATATTATAGAGGTCACC